CCTTAGGCTGTTATTGTAACAACAGCTTGAACTAAAATTAACCTCTAGATAGAATCAGCAGGGTAAATATCCTTGAGAAAGCACATGCTTCTACAAGGTCAGGTCTTAAAGCAGCAGTTCTCAACCTGTGGGTCACGACCCCTTTGGTGGTCAAACGACCCTTTCACAGGGGGCGCCTAAGACCATCCTACATATCAGATATTTACATTACGATTCATCAACTAGCAAAATTACAGTTATGAAGTAGCAACAAAAATAATTTTATGGTTGCGAGTCACCACAACATGAGGAACTGTATTAAAGGGTCGCAGCATTAGGAAGGTTGAGAGCCACAGGTTCAGGAGGAAAATGGCAAATGGTTACCTGAACACAACCACCCCACAGTTGCCTATCACCATGATGAGCAATCAGATGCTTGAACTGTTTAACTCTTTACTCTTGATATTACTTGATTTGCTCAGTAATTATTTACTTAAATCTTAATTTGTGGTGTTGTTTTTTTTTTAAAGAAGTTTCCTGATTCATCTCTCTTAAATCTTAATTTGAATACACTTATTTGACCTTTACATGCCCTCTCTGTGTTATTGGATATTTTGGAGTTTCACTTGTCAGCTCACATATGCATGCTTGAATGCAAACCTTATTTGCATTTTGTATCCCCTACTATTGGCCAATGATATCACTTAATGCAATTATCTCTTGAGAGCAGATAAACAAATAAAAGATAGGAACCTTTACACTCAGAAGACCCAAATTTAGTGCTTTCAGGCAGAATCTATCAACTTCAATTTGTACTTTCATTTGTATTCCATGCCGTATATTCACTTGGAAACAACGTGCATGTACAAGTCATTTGGCTTTATAAAGTGAAAGACTTTAGCCCTATAGAATACCTTAATGTTAAATTAAATGCTATCGGTTGGACTTAGACCTCTCTTTTTTGTATTTGAGAGAAAAAGGAAAAAAACGAAAAGCTAAATGTCTGAGGAGAAAGGGTATGTTGTCTTTTATTTTCAGAGAGTAGAAATTAAAACTGGCAAGCTGAAAGAATAATGAATCCCAGGCACGCATGTACCCGTGCCCTTGTGTTGACTTAAAAAGCAGGAGTACCACTCCTTTGTCTCTGTTCTAGCTGAGTGCCTGGGAAGATAGACACGTTCTCATGCTTGTGTAACAACTGAGGGAAAGGATTTTCTCAAGAGCTGTCTTTTAAATTAAACACCATGTGTCTGGGTTGAAATCAATATTTTCTGGTTTGTTTTTATTAGTTAGTCTGCTACATCCTTGTTCTTGTCTGTAAATTGGCACATGGTGAAGGGGGCAGCTTTGGAACCAAGCGTTCCGTTATGCAGGACCATCGTTCCCCCCACCTGTCCAAATGCCAAGAACGTGCACCACTCAGCCGGCAGAATGGATGGAGCTCCTTGGTCCGAATAGCACTTGAAGAAATGTGATTAGATCAGGCGCCGAGGAAAGTACTGTGCAGGCATTCATTTACTCGAGTGTGGCATTTCAAGTTCACAGAGTAGGGTAAATCACCCACCTCACTCACCTAGTTTTCCAGTTGCTTTTAAACCTCCTGGGGAGAAAGATTTTGGCGACACTAATGATGAGTACCACTGTACCTTACCCCCAAATCTCCAGGTAAAACTCGGTGAAATGTTTGAAATGTATAAATGATGAACTAGGCCCCATTGGCAATCCTCTTCATGACTTATTTTTCTAAGCTATCATTTAAATGTTTCCTACTTTTGTTAAAGCAAAACTTGAAAATATACTTTTATAATAAAAATGTGAAAAACGTCTTTAAAGAGGATAGTCCCTTTAAAAAATAATTGGGGTGTGTTGAATTAACATGTTTTTGTAGTGGTTTTAATTTTTTTCCATTGATGTTTAAAATGTATCATAGCTATGGGCCTTAAGTCCCCAAATATCTCAAAGGTATAATTTTTCCTTCCATCATGTGAATGAATTGTCTGATTTCTTATATATCATGATGAAGTTTAAAAAATATATTACTTATAGAATGTGGTGTCCTGGAAGTGTGTGCAATTTTGTCTTCCTTAAATAGAAAGTTAAAAGTGTCACAAAGTTAAAATTCTAGAATACCGTTTGTTGTTTGCTGACTGTCAGCCAGGAGCTGGGGTTCCCTCCTGGAGCCCATGCATCTTCCTTCGAAGGTTTTCCAAGTCTCCTCCCTCCAGGAGCACTGGGTTGAGTTCCGCTCATGATTCAAATCCTCCAATATCCTCTTCTGCCACAGCTGAGAAAAGGCTATCTGT